TCCTTTCCCTTCCCCTTCCCCTTCCCCTTCCGCTTCCTCTCCTCCTCTTCCTCCTCTTCCTCCTTCTTTTTCTTCTTCTTTTTTGGTGGAACTGGGGATTGAACTCAGGCCATTGCGCTTGCCAGGGAAGTGCTTATTCTACTGAGCCATCTCCCTGGCCCTTGTTATTTTTTATTTTGACACAGGGTCACCATAATTGCTGAGTCACTAAATAGCCCAAGCTGCACTTAAACTTGGGGTTCTCCTGCTGTATTCTTCCAGAGTGCTAGGATTATAGGCATGTACCACCATGCCTGGGTCCTCCACTCTACTTTCTGTAGTTATGCTCCTTGTATTTTTAAATTGTTTTTGAAAAGAAATTCATGAACATCACAAAAAGTCCAACAATACAATACAGCACAGTCAATGTCAAATGCTTCTCTGTTATAGTTTGGGTCTGAAGCTAGGTTTCCAGTGAAACAGTATTCAGAAATGAGGTTTTGGGAAAATGCTTAGATCATGTAAATTCTTCCCCAGGTAAATGGATGAATCCAATTAGAGCGGTATTGGAAAGTCATGGAAAATTTAGGAGGTGGTGCCTACTTTGAGGAATCACAACACTGGAGGTGTGACCTTGACAGACCCCTGTACCTCTCTCAGTTTCTGCCTTCACATGGCATTAAGAGAAGCAGATTTTCTCTGCCATACTGGCTTTCCCCCAGACAATGGTGGTGAGCCTATGGGTATATGTTGTTTTTCTTTTAAGGCAAAAGATGTTAATGTAAGAGTTGGTTTTTTCAAAACTAAAACCTCAGTATTCAGGTTTAATTGTAATGTTGGCACTTTACACTAAATAAGAAGGTTTGGGTTGCAGTTTGGGCACTCATCTCTAAAATGCTTAGTATCACTGCTCTAGGATATCAATTTTACCACAGGACCCAGAAATAAGAGTCAGGAAAACATGGGCTAAAACTCTGAAACACACACTCCATCTCTGTCTCTGTCTCTGTCTCTGTCTCTGTCTCTGTCTCTGTCTCTGTGTGTGTGTCTGTTTCTGTCTCTATGCCTCTGTCTCTGTCTTTATCTCTATCTCTCAGTATTGTGAACTGAATTTTAGTATTTTGTGACAAGGACAGGAAAATGCTTGACCCCCAGTGTAATCAGCATCACAAGTATCTTCATTGACCCTTTTCCTTTTTTACACATGAAAGTAGCAAATTGTACATATTTCTTCACTGTGTTTTATTCATTTAATAATATTCTATCTCTGCATATATGTACAGTTATATATACATTTATAATTATTTTAATGTCTCTCTCTATATATTTTTATGTATTTGGTACAGCATCTCACTATGCAGATTGGACTCATAGTGATCCTGCTGTTTCAGTCTCCCCAGCGCTGGGATTACAGGCGTGTGCCTCCATGCGCAGTCTTGGTGGCCAGTGGTGCTCCCAGGGTGGGGCCGGCACAGCATGTGGTACCAGATATTGAACGTGGGTCCTAGCACTTGCATAGGCAGGTGCTTAGACCACTGAGCTATCTCTGTGGCTCATAATATCTATATTTCTTATTTATCTACTTTTTCCTGCTAGGATCAACAAACTATTTTTTTAAGGTAGTGGTGATTGAATTCAAGGCCTCTGCACAGAACTATATCCCTACCCGTTATTTACTTTGTATTTTGAGACCAGGGCTTGCTAAATTGCCACAGGTTGTTTCAAATTTGTGATCCTTCTACTTAAGTTTCCCTAGTAGCTGGGATTATAAGTAGTACCCCACCACATTTAATGAACTTTAAAAAGTATTCACTTATTGTGGCAAGAAACTACATAGTATAAAATGTATCTTTCCAGCAGTCATTTTCCAAATGTACTGTATATTATAAACAACATGTATGTTGTTGTGCAAAGATTCCCCAGAACTTCTCCTCCTGCTTGACTATAATTCTACACCCACCAAACAGTCCCTCCCAAGTTCCCTCCACCCAGCCCGTGGCAACTTTCTGTTTATACTTTGTATGAGTTTGACTGTTTTAGATATGAAATAAGGAGAAGCACCTGTATTTTTTTGTGTGTGACTGACTTCACTTCGTATAATGTTCTTAAAGTTCATGCATACTGTAATATATGACAGGATTTCCTGTCAGGGAACCAATAGCAATCAGGCAACATTCTTGTTAAACAATGTAAGAGATCACTGAAGTGCGAACAAGACAAAAGTCACAACAGGTTACTCTGGTTTTAAATACTGAACTGTATGTTGTATGTACACACCACATTTTCCATATCTGTTAATGAACAGGCATAGATGACTTTTAAATGTTTTTGAGACAGAATCTTAGTAAGTTTCCCAGGTTGGGCTTGAACTTGTGGTTCTGCTGCCTCAGCCTCTCAGAATGATAGGATCAAAAGTGTACTACCACCCTCAAACTTGACTTTTTTTTTGTCTTGTTTGTTTTTGTTTGGTGGAACCTGGGATTGAACTTAGACCCTTGCACTTGCCAGGCAAGTACTTACTCTACTGAGCCAACTTCGGACCCATTTTTTTGTTTTTGTTTTTATAGTGGCTATCCTAATAGAGGTGATGTGACACCTCATTGTGGTCTTTATTTACATTTTCCTGATGATTATTTATGTTGCCTATCTTACATACTTGTTGCCCTTTTCTTTGCCTTTGAATAAATGTCCATTTTCCATTTTTAAATAGTTTTTGTTCAGTTGTAATCATTTACATATTCTAGATATTATCTCATTAGATATATGGTTTGTAAATATTATCTCCTTGTGCAGGGTGCATTTTCACTCTGTTGATTGTGTCCTTTGCTATGTAGCTATTTTAAAATTTTTAACTAGTCATATTTAACTACTTTTGCTTTAGTTGCTTGTGCTTTTGGTGCAACTCATTAACTTTCACTTCTCAGGGGGCCAGATTTTCCTCAGCGCGGCTGAGTTGTGATTTTTGCCTTGTATGCCTCAGTACTCTCTCTTATATTGTTTAAAAGGGATGTTGGCTGGTTGCTTTTGGTTCATTGACAGTATACACTCAGGGTTAGCTTAATTTTTCTGGATGTGTGAAAAAAAATAGGGCTATGTGAAGGGATTCTTTCCTCCTATTTTGTGGCTTCTGTGCTCCTTTTTGCTACAAGTTAGCTATAAACAGGGTCTTTCCTGGGGCTTCCTGACCCTACTTTCCCTTTCCTATCCACCTTGTGAGTGAAGCCTTTGAGCCAATGAAGATAAACCCACAAGTTGACTTCAGACCAATGGGAGGCTCCTGGGTTCCAAATGAACCAATCATTAGGGATAAGATGGATAGCTAGCATCAGCCCTATTGTTCTCATAGTAATGACCCTCTTGTTTTGCTTGTGGAGGATTTGACGGTGCAAAATTCTCCCCCATTTAGTGGCTTTAATCCATCCATACAACTCTTTCTCAAGGCCAATAAAACACAAGCACTCTCTTTATTAAAAAAAAAAAGGGGTTAGGTTTCCTTGAATTGTCTGCCCTTTTCTGTTTCCTCCACTCTTTTTGTTTTACTCTGTAGTTAACTTTACCTACAGGACCTCCGCGGAGGACCCAGGCTTTCATCTTCTTGGCTTTGCAAAGATCTTTTCCTACAGCTTTGGGGTTTGTGAGGCCAAGGGTGCAGGTGGTGGAAGACTTTGATCATAGTCTCCTGCATTTTTACACACACTGTGGGCTCGCTCTCACTTCTGGTCTTTTTCTCTCCCTCCCTCATCCTCCCCTTCTCTTTTTCTCTCTGTCACAATCTCTTCCTCTCTCGGGTTCATTCGCACTACATGCCCGCGCGAGCACACACACACACACACACACGCACACGCATACACGCACTCTCACACACACACACACACACACACTTGTGCACGCGCGCGCGTGCGCGCGCGCGTGCCCGCGCTCCAGCCCCTCTCCGTGTGTCTTCGTTCAAGATGACAGGGTACTGGAGAAAAGGCTGCTGGAATCAGCTGGTAGGTACTGTAGTAACCCGAACCCCACCCACCCACTGCCTTTGCTTGCTCAGGTTTCTCCGGTCCTTCCTGCCTGGGGAGAAAACAAGTAAATGCGCCTCCAGAGGAGGGGCTGGGGGAGCTGGGAGTGGCAGGGGCGGCGGAAGGTGAGCAAGAGAAGGTGGCCTGGCTCCCCTTCTGCCTGGGCCCCTCCCAGTGTTCCCCAGGGGTGTCAACCTCAGCCGGGTTTGCACCCACTCCACCCCCCTTTTCCAAGGGGTTGCCTTTTCCCCCTCTGCGGCAGCGGAAATGACAATGTGGTGCTGTTGTGGTGTCATGGTGCTGCCCCTGGACTAAGGGGAGAAAACTCTTTAAGTTTAGCCCAGGAGACCTAGGCTCGGCGACGTCGCGGTCGCTGTGCGGTCCCCTGCGAGGTGCGCGGGCTGGCGGATCAGTGCCGTGGTGCGGGGGCGGCAGCGGCGGCGGCGGAGAAGCCAGGCAGCGGCCTAGAGTGGCGGCAGCGGCAGCGGCAGCGAAGGAGGCCCGGGAGCTCGCGCGGGAGCCCGAGCCAGCCCGCTGCGGAAGCAGAGCAGCGCCGGGCGCTCTGGAGCGCGCGTAGGAGATGGCTGGCACCCGAGAACGCTACGGGTAAAACGCGCCCCCTCACCCCAGCCCTGGGGGTCGAGCGTCGCCACCCGCGTAGGGCTCGGCCCGGCTCTGGCCGCTCTTCAGGTGCCTCCGGGCCCGGCGCCGGTCGAGGGCTTCTGGACTCTGGAAAGGGGTGACGGGGCCCGCGAGGTTCGAGGCGACAGCTGCAGGGGTCCCGGCCCATCACCCGCTCCCGGTGTTGCCATTTGGATGCGGGATTCTGCTATCGCCCTCCTGGGACTGAGTTTGCACTCCGTGGTGCCAGGCGGGGCCGACCCCAGGTTTCTTGAGGGGCCGGGCGGGGCTGGGCCGGCACTGGCAGTAGAAAGGCTCCCTTGATTCCTGGGTGCGAGTCTGGGAAAGGGCACTGCCACCTTCCCACGCTCCCTCGGTCTGCAGTTTCCATGGCCCGGGCGGCGTCCCGAGGTCAGCAGGCTCCCCACCAGTGCTGGCGCAGCAGCCTCTGATGCCGCGGACACCCTGCCGGCGGGAGGCGGGAGGCTGCTAGGCGAAACTTAATCCTGTTCAGCTCCCGGAGCGATCTTCCAGTCTGTCTCAGGGCAGTTCCTTATTTCTGGCCTAGCTGTGAAACCAGTTCTGTAGGGGAAAGGGAAAACTTCCAAATGTCTACAGGACAGACTGCAACTAAGCCAGGGAAAGGTGGAGTTTTTTTTTCATTTCTGACTCCTAAGAATTAAGTAAATAATGGCGGAATATACTTACAGAAACGTTACTGGTGACTATCTTATTTAGGCTCCTTAGCACTTGGTGAGCAGCACATTATTTTTTGGAGGAATGTCTTAGAGCCGGAAATGGAGATATGGGTGGTTGCGCTCTTTACTTTTTCCACTTGGCTTGGTGCTTCTTTATGATCACTCACCTTATCTGGCCTCACTCAATCTCCCACCAAACTCGGTTGGCCCCCAGCCTTTCCCCATCAACCTGTGTGCTTCTAGCTGCGCAGTTTCTTGCTTCTCAATCAGAGCCTTTCTGAGGATTTCTGAGTGTGAGCCCAGCGGATGGTGATGATTCTGTGGCTCCGAGAAGGCGCCCTCATGAAGGGATACTTTGGGAACTGTAAATAGACAAGTACTGTATGGGTGTTAATTTTTCGGATTCTCAATTTATACTATAAGGCCTGCATTTAACCCCTTCTATACCCTCCCAGTACTCTAAAGGGTTCTCCTGCAGAATTCTAACAGAAGAGTTGCCGGAGTTCCACTAGCCTGCTTTTCTTCATTTGGGGGAGCTGTTTGATGCTGCCTCAGATGATTTCTCCTCCCCATCTCTCTTTATGCCTCCTCTTCGCTGATCACTGCCCTGAGGGAGAAAGTCTTTGCTAATTTTATATATTCCTGCCCAATCAATTAGTTTAATACAGATACATAATGTGAATTAGATTTCTTCAGACTGTTCCTCTCAAATTGACTTACGTGGTTGAAATATAGGCCTAGGAGCCAAGAAGATCAGAGTCCACCCGAAATCTGATGTTGCCTTGGCTTTATGGCCATAGGACATTTCTATGACCTTTGTTTCATAGTCAGTGTACTTGTATAATAGGCATAATATTGTGTACTGGATATTGTGAGTCCTGGCTTGATCTTTTGAAGATGAAAGGGTTCTATAAACCCTTAACATTATACTTCTCAAAGAAAGCACTTCATTTACCTTTTATTGAGTTAGTGGATTGACTGGATGTAATTAGGAACCGTAGTTTACAGAAATCTTAATTTGTCATTATTAGTACCCCTGCGGTTCAAAGCTATCATTGTATATAGGTCCTAAATCTATTTTAACCCCTTTGAAGCATGTACAAGGGAAAATATACAAACATGCATGCAGTTTACTGGTAATGATTTTGAGTTGTGTGTCATAGCTAAGATGCTTGCACTTAACACTCTGAGTCAGACTTATTGGAAAACATAACCTCACCATTTTTAGCTTACATGGGGACAGTTAGTTAATTTCTAATAAAAATGTATAAATAATTTCAGACCTAGCTATACAAACATGGTTGGTGTCTAGCAGCAGTGAGTCAATGATACTAAGCACCTATGAGTGCAGAGTTCTCAGCTGACTAGACTGAGGCTCCAGACTTGGCCCAATATTTTGTCCTCTTGTTTGTTCCAGGATAAAGTCTACACTTGCTGCTTCAGGATTAGGATGCAGGAGCACTGTGTAGGTTAGGATAAAAGTGAAAGACTCAAGGACTGCTTGTGTCTCTTCCATTTACTTTCATGATAACTAGAATTCTCATCTAGCATGTTCTACCTTGCAAGGCTACCATCAGGAAGTACTGTTGCAAATCAGAGTGACTTGGTTGCTTCACAAACATATCACCTAAACAGTGCAAATTGATGTAGATGAAATTGGTTTAGTTAATCCCTCTAAAAGCAATGTAACTTGCTTCAACTTGCAAATATTAAAGCAGTGCCAGTGGAGTCTCATAATTGCATCCAGATATTGCTCTGGGGAGTGAGTATGTCCATTCCCTCATCCCTCATCCCATAAAATCTGCTGACACTACAACTGAGAAGGAAACTCCAGAAGGAGTATTTCTTTATCACTCAGTGAACCTCATTGGCTTGCTAAAAAGGAGAGAATGCTGTCTTTTCATTCTGCGCCTTTGAACTCAGATTTCTTCTTGTTCAGTTGGGTGAAGAGAGGGCTGAGGCACAGAGTATGTCTCAAATGACTATTCTTGGTGGTACCTGTATTAACTCATTTGTTTCTGTCATTCAGATTTTATGGATCTTGATAAGTTCCTATATAGACTTGGCTATTAGAGGTGGCTGAAGGATTTTCCATTTCCATTTAGCATTACATTTTTGTCCCCTCTTCTGTGCAAAAGAGAAAATGAGGCTTTATCTTTATGAAGCAACTTTTTACTTGAGTGTTTTGCCTGGAAGCATTGCATCATCAAAATATGAAGTATAACATGTTCATACTGGATATACTGCAGTTCAGGAGAGTTCAAAACTGTTCACTTTTCAAGTCCGGGGAGATGGCTCAGTGGAATAAGCACTTCCCTGAAAGTGCAAGGGCCCGAGTTCAATCCCTGGTTCTGCCAAAAACAAACAAAATAAATCTTCACTTTTTTATAGGCGAAATTTTGATCCCAAGAGATTACTGCATTAGTGCCTGTTTCAGATCTGTCAAAAAATACTGTACTCACCAATGAGCAGTATACAGAAGTGACAAGAAAACTATTTTTCAACCAACATATTGCATTACATAAGCCAATGAGATGATCAAATGAAATGGTGTTAGGACAAGATATTCCAACTCCAGTTATCCCCTTGAGCAGACTGCTAGTCCTTTTAGTTCCCTTTGTCCCCAAGGGTTAGTATATGTTTATCTCTTCCTTTTATGTATTAAATATTTGCTAAGAGTTTTCTGTGGATTCTAGAGGTCTGTAGAGCTTTCTGTACTTCTTTAATCTTCTGCTTCATAACCATAGGCAGATACAATGTTTTTGATGGTCCTCCAACTGCTTCATTTTCCCTTACAAAACACTCTAAGCTGGTATAAGATGTTGTAAAGTAAGGGTTGTGGAGGGATTTTGAGTAATGTGCCAGCATCTCACTGTTCCCTTTTCCACGTGGGGTGAGTTCAACTGAACATACACTAGGATATTGGTTTAGCCTAAGTGAATTATCAAACTACCATTTATAGGAGTTAGTCCACTTGGGTTCATGGCTCTCTGCAGCATTCTTACAGCCTGACCTTGAGCTTTGTCTCCAGCCTGTTTCCTGCAGGTCAGATTCTGGTTGATAAATAGAGTCCCTAGTGCCTGGGACATTATCTTACAGAGACCAGCTGATCTCATAATAATCTCACTGCATAACTTAAAACCCTTCTGAAATAGCATTTGCAAATTCCCTTGATAGGAGCATAATGTATACTATGGCAGACATGCTGATGCAGGACACGCAAGTGTCTGAATACATACCAACCAGAGGCAGAAAAAAGGTTTACAGTTCAGAATTCTCAATCACTTTTTCTATAGCCCTTTGTTCAGTGTTGCTAGGATTCATGTGGTTCCCAAGAGAGTAGAAGCTTGATTTCAAATAGGCTTCTGTTCTCTGTCCCTTGTTTCTGAGCTGAACTTTGGGTTCTCTCAGTGTAACATTCAACAGCATGCCCTACATACATATATGTTGCCAGTTTCACTTTGTAGAAGTAGAGATAACTGCGCATCCAGGTGGACCCCTGAACTTTTAAAAATTCCCAAGTATTTCACTGGGAAACAGGTTGAAAAAAGCTGTCCTAGAAAAGATGAAAAGCTGTACTGGAAGCAATAGGTAAGTTTGTTCTCCATTTGTTCCTCAGCCTCATAACCTTGCCAATCTGCATTAAGGTGATAATGTTACAAATTGTGCTTGAACTCCTGTCAAGAATCAGATGTTATCATTTCTTGGTTACTTAGCTTAATATTTTGCATTTGTACCAAATTTATGACCTTTAGTTCTGCTATACTTATATTCATTTTAATGTTCATGATGATTACATTGTATAAAATACTCAATAGTTGGAGTTGGGGCTAATTACTAAAAGCAAAACACCACTAAGTCCATGTACTATAAAGTATTAAGTGAGCTTTAATAATCTATTACACAGGAAGTGGCTCTGGTAATCAACCTTCAATCTTGAGTTCTCCTTGTGTATTCTGAAATCTTAAGAGAAAAAAAAACTCGGATAGTTCTTCTCTTGAAGGGGATCCTACACTAAGGCAAAAGCCATATGAGCATGAGAAATATCACTGTTAGACCCATGGTCCTCTAGAAATCTTTGTGAAATTGTGGTTGTCCTCCATTATGTCAACCATGTGTTTGGGGGTGACTTTCCAAACAGTTTCAGTGTTTTAATAAATTCCATGTCTCTTATCTATGAATGTATACTAGTATTTATAAAACAGACTAACAATTTTGTTCTATCCTCACATGATCTTTACAAGAGCTGTGAGATGTATAGGACACATATTTTTTATTCAATAGATG